AATGATAGAAACCTCTTCGTTTCCATTATTCCTCTCATGACATCACTTAAGATTAACATGTCATCCACATATAAACACACTATGACTATATAGTCATCACAAGATTTAGAGTATAAACACTTGTCAGAGTTATTATGTCTAAATCCATATGAAATAATAGCATTATCAAATTTTTCATGCCATTATTTAGGAGCTTGCTTTAAACCATATAATGATTTAACAAGCCTACACACTTTATGTTCATTTCCCGGTAGAACAAAACCTTCTGGCCGTTTTGACATCCATCTGGTGAACAAATAGATAATGAATTGATGTCAAAGCAAACAATATCCTAATCGAAGTTGTTCTTGCCACTGGAGCATATGTATCGAAATAATCAATACCTTCTTTTTGTTTAAATCCTTTAGCTACTAATCTAGCTTTAAAGGTTTGAATACTCCCATCGGTATTGTATTTCTTACGAAACACCCACTTGCAACCAATTGGTTTAGATCCTGCTGGAAGATCTACCAATTCCCATGTTTGGTTAGATACAATAGAATCCATTTCATCATTGATTGCCTCTTTCCAAAAAGCGGCATCTCTCGAATCAATGGCTTCTTTGTATGTTTTGGGATCCTCCTCCACTTGAAGTATTATAGGAATTTTCCTAATAATATCTTCTCTATTTCCCTCTACTAAATAAAAGGAAATTCTTTGAGAATCAATCTCATTCGATCCCAACAATTTTTCTTTTCTTTGCCTTTGACTTTTTCTTAACGGCACCAAAGGGTTCTCAACAACCGTCATTGGTCCATTTTCTTGAGACTCTTCAAGATTAGTAGATTCTTGAGAACTACTCAATAAATTCTCAAAGAATTCCACATCTTTTGATTCAATTATCACATTAGATTCCAAATCTAATAGCCTATAAGCTTTTCTATTTGTGGCACAGCCAACAAATGTACACTTTATGGCTCTCGAACCCAATTTTCTTTTGTTTAGGTCCGTTTTCTTGCAATATGCAAGACACCCCCACACTTTGAAGTAACCTATATTAGGTTTTCTTCCTTTTCATAGCTCATATGGAGATTTTTCAATTTTCTTCATGGGGATTCGATTCAAAATATGACACGCAGTCAATAATGCTTCACCCCACAACTCAAAATTTAATTTAGCATGCAATAACATAGCATTCACCATTCTAGAAATGTTCGATTCTTTCTCTCTGCTACACCATTATGTTGTGGTGTATATGGTGCTGTACATTCATGAATAATGTCATTTTCTTCACAAAATAAATTAAATTCATTTGAGA